CTCCTCGTTCCGGTGCTGCTCCTGCTCCCACTTCCACTCTCGGTTCCGCTTCTCGAGCTCCCGGACGCGCTGCGAGTATCGGCCGACAGGAACACGTCATCCGACCCGCCCGAGCTTGCGCTCAAGCGTACACCCTCATCGAGCTCGCCCATCGACCCCCGGCGAGCACCCAGGCCCCGGCGCCGTCCACCAATTGCGCGCGGGTCACCGGGGTACACGTATTCTCCACCCGAGATGACACTGTCGTCGACCGTCCCCGTGTGGTGGGAGGAGACGAACGACGGTGCACGACGCACGTCTGTCGTCTGCGTTCGCGTGGTGTCTGACTGGGTGCGCGTCTGTGTGTCGGAGGCAAACGTCTGCGTGTCGGAGAGATATGTGCGGGTGTCGGTTTCGGTTGGCGTAAATGTCCGCGTATAAGCGCGTGTCTGCGTGTCCGTAGTATACGTCCGGGTGTCGGTAGTCGGCGTGTACGTCCGCGTGTAGTCGCTGAGCTGCGTATACGTCTCGCTCCGCGTCGGTGTAAACGCCCCGGTCCTCGTTCCCGTTGGGGTATAAGTCCGGGTCCATGCTTCACTCGGGGTAAAGGTGCCAGTGGCTCGACCGTACCGCCCACTCGAACTCGTGCTGCTTCCAGACGAGATGTCGGGGATGTCCGCCATGGGTGGGACGAACACGGTGCTGCGGCTGCCGTTGCTGCCGTTGCTGCTACGACTCGCGGCGCTGTCGATAGACAAGATGGTGCGGATGCTCTCCGAACGTGCCATTTTGCTGCTCCCGCTTGCACTGTCGTCCGCGTCACCCGACGACGATCCGGAGTCGGCGACTTGAGGGCGATGAACGGCCTCCCTGCAACAGATCTCAGCATCTCAAACAACAAATGGGAACAAAAAGAACACCCACCAGATGCGATTGACCCATTTCTGGCGCTCGCGAAGACTCTCCGCCGCCAGACGCTCTACACCGTCTTCGTAGACCATATGAAACGGAACTAAGAGGTCCACGAGTGTGTCGACGCCGGGCTCACCCGTTTCTGCTATCTATGAGTCCACGTCTGCCTTTGAAACAAGCACTAGACTGACCGCTTTGAAGCCGCGCTGCTATGCTGCCGACATCGTCTCGCGAGTTGGGGTGACTTGCGCTGGGAGTGCTCTGCACCGCGGTGCAGTTGAGCAGATCGAGACCGACTATACCACGGCCACCTCCGGGCGCAATCCATGATAGAAGCAAGAGATGGGGGTAGAGGAGTGCCTGGCAGCGTTGCCAGCGGTAGGGTGGTGCCGCATGAACGTTGAGGAACCAGAGGAGGCCGATGTGCAGGGGCTGGATGCGTCGGGATGCAGTGGTAGCGCGATGAGGAAAAAAGGCGAGGATATTGGTCAGCAAATGATGGGAACGAACATGTGATAGGACTAACCGGCTCGTTGCTCTGCGCGTATGCGCTGAGTTCTGCGACGTTGAGACCTGGCGGGAGAGTTCCACCGCTGGCTGTGCTCCCACGACGCACGCTCGGAGTTCGGCCGCTGCGCAGACTCGCCGTGTCATCGGGGCGGGCGCGGCGGCGGATTGCAAATAGGCCTTCGGGATCGGGGGACTGTCGGTGCGGAGGTGTGCCAGGAAGTGGAAGGGGGGGAAGGGGGTGCTCGCCGCCATTGTCGGAAGACGACGACGAAGACTTGCTGCCTGACGACGCGGACGGCGACTTGCCCGCCGCACGAGTTGGGGTGCGCTCCTTCCACAGCGCGACGATGTTACGCACGGACGCAAGAGGAGAGCGCGGGCTACCTTGCGCGGGGCGTCGAAGCGAGGCAGGGGGTGTCGTCGTCGTGTGAGTTTGCGTTTGGGTGTTGGTAGTGCCCGTTGGCGTTTGAGAGTTAGTATACGTATAAGTATTGGACGGCGTGAATGTGTTGGAGTTCGTAAAGGTATCGGTCCGCGTGTCGGTCCGCGTCGCGCTGGTGAACGTGTCAGTACGCGTATCTGTACGGGTGTCGGTGCGTGTGTCGGTGCGTGTGTCGGTGCGCGTGTATCCGCTTGGGCTGGTATACCCCGATGGACTGGAGGAGCGACTCCCACCAGAGCTGCTCATGGGCGGTTGGGAAAGGAGGGTGCTCATCGACGGGCGCGTCCGTGACGGTGTCGACCCGCTTGGAGACGTGACACGGGACTTTGTGGGAGACGCCGGGCGTGAGCCAAACGTGCTGTGGAACCCTTGGGCGTACGAGCTACCACTGCTGATGACGCTGCCTAAGTCATGCATGGACTGCGCCGGGGTGAAGAACGGCGAAGGGCTGCGCGCAGCCGGAGTAGAGGCCGTGCGCGAGTGGCCCGCAACCGGCGCGGACTCAAACACGGCGATGAGTTCTGTCGCGCGACCAGGAGGCGGGAGGCCTGCGGTGGCGGGCTCGGTGGCCGCGCGCGAATGTAGAGAGGGCATAGCTGGGAATGCGGAGCGTCGCATTTCGGGTGTCGTAGGGGTGGGCCTTGAGGTCGCCATCGACGATGGACGCGACTCCTCGGTGCGCTCCGTAATCCTACTGAGGCGCATGCCAGGACCGTGGGGCGGAGGAGACGAGAAGGAAGGGAGGGAAACAAAGGAGGGCGAGCCGGTATAGGATGTTGAGTGCTGTGAGGACCAGTTGGATACTGCGTTTTCTGTATCCTGGAGTTCATCTTCGAGGTCGTTGAGAGACGCCTCGACTTCTTCGAGTGAGTTGCTGTCGGTGTAGGAGTCATCTGAAGGCGAGTCCGGTCGCCCCATGGCCGACGCGTCTGTGGCAGGAAGAGTTAGATTCGAAGCTTTTAATTGCAATGGTAAGCACCTGTAAACGTCGCCGTCCCGTAGGTCGGGGAGTACGGATCGTCTGTGCTGCTCATCGCAGCGACGAAAGTGCGGAGAGAAAGCAAACAAGCCCACGTGACCCTGTCTCGCGTCCAGTCACTTGAAGTTGTCAGTCAGTTACGGTGCTGTCACATCACAAAGGCCGCTTCACTACCGTTATCACCTTCTCCATCCTGCCTCGGCAGCCTCGCGCTGGCAATCGCATGTAAAGGACGCAGGCTCGCGCTGCACGCTGCTGCACGAGGACCGAGCTTGATTTTGTTACATCTCCAAGATGCTCATGCAGCTGCTTCAACATGTAATAACTTGCAATGCTCATTGCTCAGGCTCGCGGCCCCGCTGTTCGGGAGTTGTTCCAACTTCAACGATCCTTCTTCAAGCGGTGGTCAGCTCTGAGAGGTTCCTGTGCCACATCCTCCTCTGGATCGAACCTATCTATTCTCATGGAGCCGTCGTCCGAACTGCGTGGATATCAAAATGTCTCGGCGTCTCGACTGGGACAGGGACTCGGAGACGCGTGCGCTTTATGGGTAAGAAACGCCTGCTGGGCTGGTATCCGCCTTTCCCTCGAGGACTCAGTACTCAGTACTCGTCATCTCTCGAAGCATCGCTCCTTCTACCGCACATGTCACATATGATTCACGTCTCCAGACCTGTGTCCGTTTGCAGCTGAGCCAGCTTGTGTAGGATCTCATATCTTCGCGCCTCGAAAGCAAATTGTATGATGTCCACACCCATCCCGCGCGCGTCGACGCAGCGAACGGCTCTGCCCCGAAGGCGGCCCTTATTTTAGGTAAGTCCGAGGGATGACGCGATGACGTACCTACTCATAATCATCCATGCACGGATTAGCGGAGCCGCATGAGTTCGCCAAAAGTTCAGTGCTCAGCGCTCAGCGCTCAGCGAACGGCATACACCAAGCACACACTGTAGAAATTCCGGACGGTACTTGCAAAACATGGGAACGAGGCGACAGCACTGTTGTATGGCACTGGGCTTTACTGTTACGACCAACGATCAAACGTCTCACTTACGCAGTCCACTAGATCGCCTCTGCAGATTTAATCCAGTGCAGGGCCGAGACGTTTCGGTGACATCTCGCAAACCATGTCTAACTCGAAGCGCTAGGTCGGAAAACGAGCTGCACTACATATAAACATGGTTCTACCAAGTCTACACGCTAGCATGCCGTCGACCTTGCGACAGCGAGCGGAACACAAGCCAAACGTCACACTGAGCTCGAGGCATCATCGACACTCAGGATGTTTGCGAAATAGTGACCCGGGCTTGAACATGACTCATAAGCTTCTAGGACGAATATCCAATAGCAGCTGAGATTGGCCGTCCCATGGGGCGTTCCTTATCCAAGCCAGTGACTGAAGCACACAAGATTCAAGGCCAAGTGCGGATGCGGTCATCTGCATCAACTATCAGCAACGCATAAATCCCACGGTTCAATCCGTGAGCAAATGAGCATTTTCGACCTCAGCAAGGCTCCTCTTTCTCTCCGCGGTTACGTCCGCTGCTCAAAGTTTTCAAAACCCGATTCAAACATAAAACCTGTTCACACACGCATATATCATACTTGCACTTCAAAAAACATAGCCTCAGTACTACACTGACCCGGTCCGCTGGTTGAATGAAATCATCAATGACCGGGCCTATAAGTATCTGTCGGATTGATGCCAGCACAGACATTGTAATCAAATATAAGTACTAGCAACATACAAATCCGCACTACGAAAGAAAAATGAAGGCTGGCTCATGTGAGCTGTAGCCTGAGCTATTCCTGAACACACTGGGTGAATGTGATATCTTTAAATTCAATCGACCGGCTGAAGTCTCAGACAACCCCCAAAGATCCGACGCACTCCGAAGCCAGACTGTCCTTTCTGCTTCACACCTTGCCCATGGGCGGTCGCGAGTGGCTGGCCATGCCCTCTGCAAGGCAGGCCATTACCAGGCGAGAGGGCCTTAACAGGCTAATTTACACATGTGTCTGTCTTTGGTCTGTCTTCAGATCTTCTCCAGACACGGACTCGGAGAAACAATCACCCTCTCAAATCTGAGATCTGAGCTCTCAGATCTGATTCTGGTGTTGTTGTCAAGATGGCAGCAGATAAGTACGTACAAAAAAACAAAAAACAAAAAAAAAACATTCCCGCTAGCCGATTTGAACGACTGACCTCGTCATGAAGAGTTTGCCTATCACCCATACTAGTGACGCGCTCTACCAACTGAGCTAAGAGGGAGACACAGACCCTTGCATCACTAGCATTAGAGAGGGCGCACTAGGCACTATTAGTGCTTGTAGCAAGTCGCCGGCGGCCACAGGGACAGCCAGTCTGCGGGGTAGGGTCAGGAGATGTGAGGAGAGGACGGGTTGGAGGGAATGAAGTAGAGCAGGTGACTGTGGATGCCCTTTTATTCGTGACTATGTATGGTATGTCGAGCCGCTCGACTCGACGCGCTTCTGGTCTTGGTGCTGGAGCATGTCCGTGCCGAGGGCGATCGCGCTTCCCACTCCTTCCACAAGCGGCGAACAGCGGTATTCAGGCTGATTCCGATCCAACCTGGGCCGGAAAAGCTGGAACACAATGAGGCGTAGGTGCAGAGTAGGCAGAGTGTTGGGGAGCCTCGAGTTTGAAGCCATATGTGGTACCAATGCGCGTTTCGTTTCCGAAGCGAAGCTGTAAGGATGCTTTTTCAATGAGCCATGGGATGCGGGGCGCAGGTCCCCGCCGAGGAGAGTTGTGTCGCAGCGTTGAGGTGGGAGACTGTACATACATGGCTTGGCCGGCAGTGGGAGCCTTGGAGATATGGTCGACCTTGGATGGAAGCGCAGGATTATTCGGGAACGCTTCGCGTTGATTGACCCGGAACGGAGGGCGGCAGGTTCCAACTTCAGACGCCGAGGTAGGTTGTGGGAAGACGGTGATCAGCCTGGATATATAGAACGGTATTCGGCGACGATGCCATTTCGGCGTTTACGATAAGAAGCCTGGAGGAAGGGAGACAAGGAGCTGCTACATTTGGCAGCTGGGCGTGCGCATCGAGTAGGTTGCTGATTCGGGCCGTAAGACGTACACAAGCTTTGTCGGGTGGTTATGTTCAAGCTGCGCACCTGGATGCCGGGTGCATGGGTGCACGGGTGACCTCCAGCGGGGCTGCTGAAGCCAACTGCGTGCGCCTGGGGGGTGGGGATCCTCGCGCTTTTTCGCCGCTCGGGTTGATTATATTAGCGGTCCAGCTATAGCTGACTGGAGATCATGCACCGCCCTCGTTGTGTGGGCTCGCGCCCCACGGTCAAGACGGACGATGAACGTGCAACATGGACAAGAACGAGGGCGAGCTGTCAGATCCGGGCGCAGAGGGGGCTGAAGTCTGGCAAGTTCTGTCATTGGAATTCAAAGCAGCAGCGGTCTGCTGAAACTACTTGGCGCCTTATTGACGCCACATTTCTAGGCGTAAGGCACGGCGCACGGTCGAAAGGGTCGCAGCGGGATGCCAGAAGGAGACTGGGCAGTGGGTATGTACGCATCAGATCCGGTGGGTGGTGGTGAAACGACTGCGTGCGGGCGGGCCGTGGACTGCCGGGACGGGATGAGTGATGTGTGCTGACTGTGTACAGCCTCTGCCGCGCCACTCTAATAGACCGTCTGCGCCTTTCCGCCGCTCTAATGCTGCTCCCTCCCCGCAACCTGGGCACTGACCCGCCCCCGACCAGCATCCAGTCCTCCACATGGGTCCGTGCACTCTCAAATTTCAAACCCCAGCTCGCGCTGACCCCTCGCAGATCCCCATCGCCGTCGTCGTCGGCGCGCTCTGCCTCCTCACCTTGCTGGTCTGCACCCGCAGAAGCCTCCGTAACCGCATTGCCAGCATGGGCAACGGTGTCGCCGTCGCCTCGGGTATGCCCGCCCGCGAGCTCACCGCCGAGCAGCTCGCCGGAAGCATCAACCGCGCCCCCGCCGCACGGGCCCGCCGCCCACGTCGCACACCATCGCAGATCAGCACTGTCTCGCTCCCTGCGTATATGAAGGAGCCGGGCGAGCAGGAGCTCGTCGTCTCCCGCGGCCCCGACGGCGAGGACGTCGCCATGCCCACCGCGTCCGCGATGGACGACGACGATGACCACAGCACAGAGGACCAACACGGCGCGGCGCCCGCCCGCCGCTCGAGCGCGCACGGGTCAGCGCACTACGGCGCGGAGCCGCACCCTCCGACGAGCTCGCCCTTGCTGGGGAGCGACGAGCACGATCCGCGCGGCGCCGCCCCCGCGTACTTCGAGGTCGTCGACCCCGAGCACTACCCGCCCGGCATCGTCCGATCGGCGTCCCCGGAGCCCCAGCGCGATGCCTCCCCTGAGCCCCCGCAGCGCCGCTCAGGCTTCTTCTCGCTCTTCCGCCCCGCCCCGCCGCCCCCACCGCCGATGCCCCCAGCCGACAGCAGCACGAGCACCCTCTCCCTCACGCACACCCTCACGCACACCCGCACGCATTCCACCACCGCGCCCTCCCTCGCGCTCTCGCGCTCCCTCTCCCCGTCCCACCCCGCGCCCCCGCCCTCGCGGCACCGCGCCTCCCCATCCGCCTCCACGCTCTTCTCCCTCGGGCGCCGCCGCTCCGCCACGTCCCTCGCGCGCGACGCGCTGACCTCCCCCTCCGCGATCTCGCTCGCGAGCATCTCCGCGCCGCTCCCGCACACGCTGCTCAAGACCGAGTTCAGCGCGCTCCCGCGCGGCGGGCCCACACCCGAGCAGCTCAGCCTCATCAGCGGGAGCAAGGAGGGCGGGCTCGGCCGCTTCGGCGTGCCGTGGGGCGAGGCGGCCGTCGCGTATGCGAGCGCCAGTGCCAACGCGAGCCGCGTGGCACTCGGGCTGGAGGCGGAGGCAGAGGCGCCGAGCTATGCGAGCGCTAGCGGGAGCGGGAGTGGGCTGCCGATGAGCGGGGAGACGGGCGCGGCGGACGGGGTGGAGGGCCTGCCGTCCACGATGCGCGACGCGGCTCTGAGCGTGCCACTGCCGCCCTCGCCCACCGCCGCCTCGCCGGCCTCCCCGCCGCCCGCCCTGCACCCCCCGCGCGCGGACTCGCGCGCGAGCGGGTTGTCTGTCGCCCAGAGCTTCGCGACCGCCGAGGAGGGCGCCGATGACGACGAAGAGGAGGAAGCGCTGCGGATCCATGTGCAGGCGCCGACGGACGCGATTGTCACCGGGGCGCGGAGCTAAGCGTTTGTTTCCGCTTCCGATTTCGTTTTCGCTTTCGAACTCTTCGTCCTTCGTCCACCGTTTCTCGTCCTTCGTGTACATCTCTGGGCTCGGGCTCTGGCTTGCTTGCTTTCCGCCACTATCATCCCGTTTCTCATCCAGCTATCCACTTCGCAGCATCTCCGCATCTACATATCTACGCATTCCAGCCATCCGGGGCCATATACTGCCTGCCTGCCTACCCCTTCTACACAGTGTATTCCCGCATACGCTGCCTACATACGCCTACGCCCACGCATCCAACGCCTGCTATGACCGCGCTACCCCCTCCCCCCCATCAAAGTGATAGACACCGACGCGACGTGATTCCCCCGCCCCCGCCCCTCCCCTGCCTTCGACCCGCCCCGCCCGCTTTCTCCGCCCGTCCTCCTCGACTGATTTCCTTGACTGACCGACGATCTGACCCCGACCCGCCTCGAAGAAGAGACTTTGCCCCGTTGACGCTAACCTCTGAACTGGCCGATCGCCGCAGATGTGCACAACTTTTTCAAAATGTACGTGGACCCGATGCGCTGGCCGACCGTGCTGCGTCTATGTCTACGTACGCACCACGCCCTCGCCGCCCCGCGTTTCCGCGCAGGACGGTGGGACTCTAACTGGTGCATTATCGGTATCGGGATAGGCTTGGGAACTGGCGTTTCGGAACGAGAGTGGGTTGGCGAAAAGGCGGAGGCGGGCGCTAATGTACACTACCTACTACACGATGAGCAAAACGGCGAACGACACGTAGATGAGATTTTGAGGATGAGATGAGGCTGATTTACCTCAACATATACTTGCTCTAATGTAGTTTATGATTATATCAACGCATCTCGCCCTCGTCCCACCTGACAGAAACGGCGTTGGAACGACTCGCGCGCACGCGGCAAACGCGGATGCGAGTTTCAGAACGAGGAACGAGAGTCTGTCAAGAGAGACTAGATGCGAGTGGCAAGTCGCATCTGAGGCGGATCGGCGCCCAGCGCGCAGGAGAGTGCCAGAACTCACCCAGCTGTCTCATTTCCGCACCTCCACGGGAACGCATGAAAATCTATATCGACTGACATATCATCGGTCTTGGGAAGCCGGGGTGGGGACCCGTCCATTTGACATTCGACATTTTGTTGATTCACATGCTCGTTTTAGCTAATATTCATCCATGTGGAATCCATATGTTATACAGAACAATCAGCATCGTCTACGTATATAATATGATTACTATGTGCCCCACCATCAGCGAGAACCTCAGGGATTATTCGGTTTCTTCAGCTTTCTTTCTGCGATGCGAGAACTTCGTCGAGTGGCAACAAGGTTCCTGTCGCGACGCTTCCGATGAGCAGCTGAGCTTTTTGGAGGGGGAGGACACATCGCTTTGTTGCTTTTGAGTTTTTTCGAAGGTCCGTTTGGTGAGGGATTGGACGAGCCTGGGGTGTCGGATACCCCGCTGGTTGATGGTGCCTTGCGTTTCTGAGGAGTCTCAAAAGAGATATCGGTTGCTAGCTGGGCAGCACTCTCATACTCTGAGATTACTTCTGCATGTACCCCTTCGAAAGGCGAATCGTGGGGAAGCGGAGCATCATCGAATATTGCATAATGGACATCGAAATCCCCCTCGAATATCCGGTAGAGGGCAAAGAGGGTCCTGCGAAGCCTTTCGAGGACTTGAATGACGGGTAGAAGCGGACCAGAGGGCTCTGCGGGTCTAAATCCAAAGCGTAACGCGACCATGCGTGATAAGACGTTGATCTCTCCGACGATTTCCCAAGAAAAGTACTTGTTCAACAAGGCCTTCATGGCATCGTTGCATCGTTGGTGGTACAAGACCACCCAAAGCGCTACCCAGAGCGTCGATTCGAGATCGTGGAATGGATGATACCTCAGGAACGGAGTGGGGGGCCGATCGGCGTCGGGATCTTTGCCCCTAGATAGCAGGCTGTCACCTACCCACATATAATAATCGGCGGCCACTTCTACGGCGGTGTACTCTGGCGTACCCTGGAGAACTAA